CTGTCTGCTAAGAGGCAGAAAATGGAGTAGGTTTTCCTCAAATGGGCCCAATGCTCTGCTCCAAAATAGTGGCAGACAAAATTTCCTTGTAGTTGTGGAAACGCAGTGAAAGACCTCCTGCCTTGGTTGGCAAGACCATCAACACATATGTCTAAAAGCTGTCTTTTTTTGTACACACTGTAGTTTGTTCCATATCTCTGGCTATGCATATACCAAATAAGTCTGTAACTAATAAATACTGCAATCAATGCATATACAGTGAATTCTTGTATACTGAAGAAAAACAGTCTCCTACACTGAAAAAGTTTTCCTACTAAGGTGCAACTATCAGGAAAAAGCTCTGTTCTGTGTCCACCATGGTAAAAGTACTGAACCTTCTTTAAACTGAGGCAAGCATTTGTAAAAATCTTCTAATGGATGTGGGAAGAATGTGTTCAGATTGAAGGGCCCGTCAACCACATACCAGCTCCAAATGCAAAGAAGAAACTCTTATCTGGGTACTCTTCCAGCAGGTCCTTCACCCTTCTGCCCATTCGCTCATTTCGCTTGTAGATGAGCTCCTGACGGAAGTAGCTGTCTATCTCTTGGGCCGTAATGCGTTCATGTGCCGGAAGTGTAGCATTAATGAAATTTGGGACCTAAGGTAGGAGAAAAAAAATATTCTTCATGAAAGGGGTATTTATTTCACAGGCAGTCATCATGCACAGGCATTTTGTTCCATCGTTAAATGTGGCAATCGCCTTGTCTCTCAAGGCACATCCAGTAGGAAAAAAACAGAGAAAGCTAAGAAATGAATCAGCAAACTTCTAATAATGCATAATGCTTCATTTCTCTTAACATATCATTTCATAAGGCAGCCAGATTAATTTTTCTTGATGCAAAGTCAACAAATATTCTCAGTTTGACACACTGTAGATCCCAAATACTGATTGCTCAGCTGAAGAAAGTAAATATTTGCCCCTGGCTATCTTTAGCTACATACCTCTTCCTTAAATTGCCATGGATATGACATAACTATAATGATAATTACACTCTTCTAAAAGAGTTTGACGGGTATCAGAGCCCTCAGGCTGGCAATGAACAACTGTGCAGTTTGAACTAGTTAACAAAAACATCCCCAAACTTTCCAAAAGAAAGAGGGCTAGACTTTGTCAGGAAAGTATTACCACCTCCAGTTCCCCTGTCCTCAAAGTATCTTTCAAAATACTGGCTTCCTCCCCTGGGGCCCCAGGCCAGCTATGGCTGCACGCTATCCTGACCCCTTGCTAGTAGAGAGAAACGTGGGTCTAAAGTTGCAGCCATCTTGGCTTCTTGACAAGCAGCTTTGAGCATTGCAGCTACGGGGACTGCTAAGGAAAGGCCCTGCAAGCAGTGGGTTCTGGGAAGGAGAGCCACTAAGCCAAGCGTCTTCCATTGCAAGGTTGCAGCAGCTGAAGAGGCTCTGGAGTACTCAGAGACTATTACCAAGTTTCCAAAGGGTTCTTAGCCCACACTGGGTCATCCACTGGGCAAGCATCGGGTCAAATACAATTTACAAACAAGTTCTGCTTAAAAACATAAGCTGACAGTGTTGCAGGCTATTACTACTCAGCTCCACTCTGAGGGGGAGTGCCCTGCAGTGTAGTCTCTCATCTAAGCAAAGGGCATTTGCTGCCTCGGATACATACATGTCTCGGCAAGAGCTGTTCTCTCCAAGGACCTCAAGGCAATGCCAGCTGTCTGCAGTCTGTAACACCTCAGCAGAATAGTGATGCAGCACCTGTATGCTCTTACAGTGGCCTCCTTTAAGAAGCCCTTTGAAATCTATGAATGAAGGGCACCGTGTAAGAGCTAAGCAGTGTTAATGACCAGGTTGCCTGCACCTGCAGGCTGAAGGGTGTGCAGGACAGGAAGGTAACAGCACTCGCACAACGCTCAGTGCTGGAGAAGCAAGGGATGGTATGACAGTAATCCCAGCTCTGCAGCACTGCACTATATATATCAAAAGGCCATAGGAAAATGGTTATTCAGCATGGAAAGCCCAGGTACCGACACCCAGTGGTTCAGCACTGCAAGGCTAGAGCCTATGATTTCATTGACATGCATGAATTGCCAGGCAGCACCTCACAAACAAGAATAGAGAGGCCTGATGTCCCAGTCTGAGGTTAGCTAATCTAACAGCCCAAACAGGCCAAATTGGTCCCTGCTGGGCATTTTTTCATGGTTTAAAGTTCAGAGCATTGCATTCTACTGTGCTGCTTAGGAAACCGTCTCTATAAACCAAGTCTGTAAGGTCTCAGAAGGTTTTCTTTCCTTAACATTCAGTCTAAATCTATCTTTTCTTTGTTTCACTCCATTCTCTTCTTCTGGCCTTGCCCACAGTACACAATCATACTGATAGAGGACATTAAAAAGCTTGCAACTTGCCCAGCCTTACGCAAGCATCCAAGTCACAAGTGTATTTTCCCTGCTGCTACTTGCACAAAAGAGCCTTCTGCTGCTCTCTGTTGGGTCTAAGTTCGCTCATACCTAAGCTGGTGTAATTCCACAGGATCCTTAAGAAAATAAAGGATTAACTCATAGAGCTTTGATGCTAAAGCAAACACAGCACTTGTCCAAAAGGGAAAGCCAGGTGTGCCTTCACTGCTTGCGTGCAGCAAGACAGGGTTGAGGTGGTGCAGACTCCTGGGACAGGAGGCGCAGGAAAGCGGACACGCCAGGGAGCCAGCGACGTGCCCTTGGCCCTCGCCTGCAAAGGGCTTGCCTGAGGAGAGATGAGCGTGAGTGAGACAGGGGTTAGTGCTATGGGGACATGTGCACAGTACAAGGGCTGCAGTGGCAAGACTCACTTGAGAAGTGTCATGGTTGAAGATGATGGAGCTGAGGTCCCCACAGTTGTAATGCTTGATAAGGTCTTCTGTCGTATAGGGGATCTGGAAACTGCCTGCTCGGAGGCTCTCCTGCTGCAAGAGAGTCTGATTCAAAGCAAAGACCACCTGAAGGAGGGGGAGAAGGAGGAAAAGACAGAGTTCCTGGTGAGTTCTCATCTTGGCCCTTGAGAAGGTCACAGACATACAGCCACCTGTCGAGGTCTGTCTGAAAAGCTGCTCCTGCTCCAAGCATGCTAGTCCGCTCATCGCCAACCCATGCCTCCTCCAGGTCTGCAGATAGTCACTCCTCAGGTCCCACAGGCCTGCTCATAGGGAACTGACTCATCACCCGTAACTCCAGGATGTTTTGCCCATGACATGTTTAATACAGAAGATACAAAGGGGCAGACTGTAATAGGGGCAATCTTGCTCCCTGAAACAACAGTTTGCCTGACCACCAGAGAGCCCTAGGGCCTGATGGACTCCTATCGCCACAGCTCCTCAGCCACCTACCTAAATTAAGCATGGCTTCTCCTTGCTTGCCCTTTCTCCCTCATCCGCAAGGAATATTAACGCTGTTGTTTCCTGCTTCGCATCTCCTTCTCCCCCACACCCCATTTATTTTAGGCAGGAATGGCTCTCTGGAGCAGGCCGGGGAAGGATGGCAGCTGCTGGGAGACACAGGTGGTCACCCTCCCCACAGGGGAAGTCTGAAGGCCGCAGCCCCACAGCAGCCCAGCATTCTACCCCGACTGACTGCCTCCACAGGCACGGGGGCTGCCACCACACACACTCCCTCCTCCTTCTCCTCCTCCTCAGCGTTCACCTGGGAATGCAAACACTCCCATTCACTTTGCCTCAAGCTGAACCAGCGTGGTTGCCACAGCTCCTACCCCCAGGGAGCCTCTCCCTTGACCGGAAAGAGAGAAGATCAGCAGAGGCCTCCTCCAGGTGTTGCTGCTTCCCCACCTCCAGCACAGCATGGGTCTCCCAGGGAGGTGGCCTCAGGGCCTGAACCAGAGAGAACTGCCGCTCCAGCTGCCTCCCGCCAGGGGCAATATACACCCCATGAGGATGACTGCCACTTAAAAGGCACAGGAGAGCAGTTTGGAGCAACACTTGACAGGGGCCTCTGGAGCCAAACAGACAATGCAGCACCTCTGTACCTCTGCCTCGCTGCTCCAGCTGCTGCAGCAGGCAGCCACCGAGCCCCGTAAAGGCAGGGAGCCAAGGAAGGACTTGGGGCAGAAGCTCCTCAAGATCAGCATGGGATGCCCGTGGGCACACTGGTGGGGCACGGAACTGGTTACTGACCCGTGCAGACAGCAGTTCTCCATCAGCATGTGGCAAGTAAAACAGCCATCTCTCCTGGACACAGTGCTTACTCAAGCTACCGCTGCTTTGCACACCAAGACTAGAGAACTCTAGCAAGCCTTCCTACTACCTACTGGCTTTTTTTTTTTATTTCTAGAAGAGTAAGCTGAGAAATATTGCTGAACACATTTCATTGCTGAAATGCTGAACACATTTCAAAAGTTACTCTTGGGAGGGTTATTTTCTAAGCTCTGGTGCCTCTCTGCAGCCTGATGACGGCTCCGTGTTAATTAACTCCTCCTGGATATTTGCCTCAAACACCATCAAAATGAGCACTCTGGAACTGCAAGTATTCACCAACACCATGAAACCCATACATGAATAAGTGTACTGTTAATGTACTTGAGATTATGTGAACCAAATCTTGGAATTACAGGACAGGGCAGATGTAGGAGCAAACAGGTCCAAATTGCCCTCCCCTGGCACAACAGCCTGTCTCCTACAGAAAGGTGCAGGTCCCACTAAGCTTGAAATCATGCTGTTCCCACTAAGGCTACAGCTGGCCATCTGGGTCCAAACCACTGTTTATTTAACCAAACATGAAAACATATAACTTACCATTAGTTCTGGAAGGGTGTTCATGTATAGCAACATTCACTCTCACCTCATGTTTTTAAAAGGGACAAGAATTCACTTTGTTGGTACAAACTGCACCTGATTAAAAGAATATCTGCAGGTAGATACTCAGGAACATTACATCAAACTAACTAGTGGCCATCTTGCAAAGGACATCTGTTTAATTTGGAAGTAAATTAAACAAAAACAAATTGAAACCATTTTATGTCTGAACAAAAGTTTGCACAGAGGCTGGTGTTTATTGCACTCCAAAGCCATTGTTTTCCATTTGTTTGGCTTCACTTTCCATAGAGAAAAGCCCTAATAGATGTTAATAACCAGATGAGATTCACTGAATGACAAGCCAAATCCACGCTGAAAATATGGGGTTTCTACAGCCAGGACTGCTAGGTCATGCCAGGAAAATCTCGTACGTACAATCAGTCCAGCCAAAAGCACTTCCATGGGAATGGCTTATTTTGTAAGTTATTTGACTACCATAGCAGCATAGAATCATAGCACCTTTGCGTTGGAAGGGACCTTTTAAGGTCATCTAGTCCAACACACCCACAATGACCAGGAACATGTTCAACTAGATCACGTTGCTCAGAGCCATGTCCAACCTGACCTTCAGTGTTTCCAGGGATGGCGTGTCTTCCACCTCTCTGTGCAACCTATGCCAGTGTTTCACCACCCTCGTTCTGAAAAATTTCTTCCTTATAGCTTGTCTAAATCTACACACTTTTAGTCTAAAACCATTACCCGTTGTCATATTATAAGAGGCTCTGCTAAAAAGTCTGTCCCCATCTTTCTTAGAAGCCACCTTCAAGTACTGGAAGGCTGCAAGAAGGTTTCCCCAGAGTCTTCTCTTCTGCAGGCTGAACAACCACAACTCTCTCGGCCTGTCCCCAGAGAAGAGGTGTTCCAGCCCTCTGATCATTTTTGTGGCCCTCCTCTAAACCCGCTCCAACAGGTCCATGTCTTTCCTGTCCTGAGGGCTCCAGAGCTGGATGCCATACTCCAGGTTGTGTTTCACCAGAGCAGAGGGGAAGAATCACCTCCCTCAACCTGCTGGCCACGCTTCTTTTGATGCAGCCCAGGGTACGGTTGCAAGCGCACGTTGCCTGCTCATGTCCAGTTTTTCATCCACCAGCAGCCCAAGTCCTCCTCAGCAGGGCTCTTGATCCCTTCATCCCCCAGCTTGTAATGATACCAGGGGTTGACTCAACCCAGGTGCAGGACCCTGCACTTGGCCTTTTTGAGCCTCATGATGTTCACACGGGCCCATTCCTCAAGCTTGCATTTTTTCATTCCTTAAGCATCCTCTTGGACAATTTACCATTAAAACAGTATGTCCCTTCCTAGACCCTGCAGCCTCTGAAACAATGACCAGGCAGTCCCAGTCCACAGAGCAGCAATAAGACCTGTGATGGTCTCCTGAGCTGTTCAGGTAGCTCTGCCTCAATGTAGAGTAAGCACATGAAAGAGGCTCTGCAATCTTTATCGTTTGATTTTCATCCAAATACAAACCAGTGGAGGGCAACCGGCTTCTGTGGAGAAAATACCAGCCTGCTGGGCCAGATGTGAGAACAAAGCAAATCTTCCTTTCTCTGCGGCACTCCTGCTGTCGCTTGCTCTGCATGCTATCCTCTCCTCCATGCACATCTCTTCCCTCCTCCCTTGCAATGTGCTTCAGGTGAAACAGACACAGCCTCTCTTCCAAACAGACCTGGCCTGGACCGTAGCAGCCAGGTTGAGCCACAGGGGCATCTTCCTTGCTCATGTCCACCCACTGGGCATAAGAAGCACACAGTAAACTGCAAATAGCTAAATAAATCTGTCTCAAGAGCACGGTTTAAAACCAAACCGTGGTTTTGGTCTACCTGCAGTTATGGAGGATTACCACACACATTTACACAGGAGTAGAGGCAACATAGCCCCTCATCCCTTCGTATTTCTAACCAGCAATAAACTGGTATGACACAAAGCTGTCCTGGTGAGGCATCTTCGGCAGCTCTCTGGTCTTTGCTAGGAGTATGTCTTTCTGGTATGGAGGTGGCAGAGTTGATACTGGACACATGAAGAAACCTCAGGATGACAGCAGCTGAAGGGCTTGGCCCAGCTGGTGAAGCACAAAACACCTTTCACAATGAGGTGGTTCATGTTTCAACTCAAAGAACAAACCAAGTGTCCAAGCTCACTGCCCAAGACTCCTACACCCCATCCTGACTACAACTGCCTGGGGATGGAGCATCCAGCAGGCTGACATTGACCCCACAGCCTAGTCTGCATGACACTGCATGAGCTGTTCTTCTTTGGCACGGAGGATTACACAGGGCTGTGCCCTGCCAGGTCAGACTTCCGCATGAGCAATGTTTTTCCCCATTTGGATCTAGACCTGCATGCTATCACTGTTCATAGTACCTGAGAGAGAAGTCACATAAGAACTACCTGAAGCCCACCCAGAGAGGGGACTTTCAACTTGGCGTTGTGAGGGACAGAGGTGGTCTCAGCTCATTTGATGACCATAGCAGCAGCCCAAGTCCCTCTACACCATTCTCAACCACAGCCCAAACACTGGGAGCAAGAAAAGTTAAGACAAATGGGTAGAAATCAAAAGAGCGTCAATGTCATTGACAGTTAGCCCTCCCTAATGAGTAACAGTAACCTATGTCACCAGGCTTTGCACAGCTGGAGAGCAGGAGACACTATTGCCAAACATACTCTCCACATCAGCTGATCTGAACAGAATGGTGGCAGCTACTGGAGGGTGATCATGGCACACCTACTGAACAACTACACAAGATTACAATTTGGCGTCAGTGTGTGTGTAGAGCCTCTCAGAGTAATGTGATAGCTTCTCTCATACCTTCTTGGGGTGAGTGTAACTCCCTGGCAGAAAGACAAGATCTGTGGAGGTAAAGAGGGAGAAGCTGTTTGCATTACCATGTGTTACTTAAAGCTGTGCCCCAGTGAGAAGGTTATCTTCAGTAAATAGTAATGGATAAACACTGTCAGGATCTTAAGAGAAGGAAGATTCCTGAACCTACTGTTCTTAAAGGATTTAATTTGCTGAGGTGGGTCTTGCTCAGAGGTTGATAACTCTTATCTGTCATTATTTCTCAAAGAAAACATTAGACTAGGTGCAAAGTGATACTCAAGGAAGACCACAGCCTGCAGATTGGGTCCCAGTCTTG